GACAACACTGCAATTTGTGAGGCCTCTTCTGCTTCTTGCGGGCAGTGCTTGTTACCGCAATTCGTTTCGCAATTCGTTTCGCAATTGGTTTTCGGCGTCTCGCAAAAGTCGCTTGGAAAGAGCACGCCGAGCGACGTATTTACGCCCTCCACAACTCGCGCAATCATCTGGTCTGGCATGGATGCTCGGGGACATGCGCGTTGTTCTGCACTGAATTTGCGGTTCGGCGGATTATTTTTGGCTTGTTTGGTCTCTCCCAGGCCTGTGGAAGCATTTTGAAGGGAAAGCCTACTTTACTTATCATATGCCGGATATGGGCCGCATTCCAACTACTTCAACGAAAAGCCACCTTCGCACTGGTCTGCTCTGCGATCCTCCGCATGTTACATCCTTTTCGGCCGATGAGACGTGGGACGAGGTCGAAACCTTACTTCTGCGGCTTTCTTGTTTAGGGCCTGAAGTCTCGTGCTGTTTTTGGCGGGTTGGTCTCACTTATACTGCAACACAAAGCATGCTCATGGGCCCAGATAGAGGATCCGTAAAGCATAGGGCACAGCCCCAAAAACAGCTCCACAATTTCATGCACAGAGCCAAACTCCAAACAGTCAAAACCCGACCTGCAACAACCCCTGAATTGTAAACATCCCTGAAGCTCAAGAAGTCAAACATGCTTGTTACGGGGTGTTTACGGGTCTCCTGAGAAGCCTTCCAGCTGCATCCTCAAGTAGATGTGTGCCCAAAGTCGCGCTCGTCGGGATCGGTGCTTTCTCTCCGGCTCACCTTGCTTCCATCAAAGGCTTCATCGGTGCGGAGGAGTTGGGCTTTGGCGATTACTTACAGGCGATGACTTATAGGCTTTATAGGATTTAGAGATTCGTAAGATCCCATTTGAACCCCGAGTGTGAACCCCCTCTTAAGCTGACTCAGAGGAGGACGGGCATTCCACAAAGCCGGGTCGCATTGCTCGGCCTCCTCTGGCTGAACCTCAACACCAATTTCCTGGTCCTGTGTCATGGGAGCAGCCGGCGCCATGAAAGGCTGAGGTGCTGAGAGGAGCATCTGTGCAGGCAACATGGTGGGCTGCATTGTGGGAGGCATTGTTGGTGCCATCGCTTGCCTGATCTATTGACGATTAAACTCTGTTTTTGGCACTTGGGCTCTATTCCTCCTTGATCCTCCCTGACGGTACCAAAAATAACACATGCAGCAGCATGAAACAAAACAAGATAGACAGATTTCCTGAAAAAGCCCGGTTGCAGCACAGGGGCGGCCAAAGCGGTGTACAAGGTGGCTGTAGCCATGGCTGCCGATATGGCTGCTGCCTGATGAGCTTGAACGAGGTGGTCCATCTGAACCCATGGCGTGGCAGGCGGAAGCTGTGGGAGCTGGAGAACTGGCGGATAGGCTGTGGGTGCCGATGGCATCGGCATGGCGTATAGAGGATAGGGAGCATAAGGGCTGGCCATTCCGGCTGGTGACAGGGGCCCTGCAAAAGCTGGATGTGCTGGATGGACTGAGGGCAGTGCGCTGCACAGATTGATGCACGGCGTGAATGGGGCTTGGGGCTGCGCTGCCCGTGCCTGTGGTGCTCCTTCCGTTGCATGGACTCTGAGCACCTGGGCCAGGGGAGGCACAGAAGCAGGAGTAGGATGCTGGTACTCGGGCCACTGTTCAAGTGTCCCTGGCCGGTCTCCTCGAGGCGTGTCCTCCCCCTCCCTCACACTCCCGCTCGATGCAACGGTTGGACCCCATGTAAGGTTGCGGCTTCGACCTCTTGGAGAATTCTCAGCCTCTACAACCTTGAAGAAAGTCTTCTCCACCTTCATCTGCAGCCCGCTGCAACTGGAATTCAAGGTGCTGTTCGGGGTCTCTGACGCTGGCGAATCTCCGAAAGCAGTTGTTTCCGAATTGAGGCTTGGACTCACGTCTGGGCAAGTGCTTTTGCGAGCTTTGCGTCCAGCTTCTGCGTCACCGTCATCGTCTGTATGACCATCGATGAAGGTGTTCTTTACCTCAGCTGACTTGCTAGTGTTTCTAATGAAAGTTCCTGCCAGCGACCACTGCTTCTGAAGAGCGTGCAGAATCATGACCTCATGATCTGCCTTCTAACTTATATAACCGTTGCAACAACTTCTCGATGTATAGCCATGATGAATTTAGGCGAGCACCTGCCAAAAAAAGGACAAATTCAGGGTTCTGCCCCGATACTTCAAAAACGGTACATCCACATCACGGAACTCCAAAACGGGCACATTCACATTCAAACCAGTGTTCTTGCTTCTGTTGCCCAGCTGTCTCATACATTTCTTGATGGTCTCGCCGAGTCACGGTCACGCCGGAGGATACCTGCAGTTCGGGCCGGCACAGCAACGTTGGCACTGGCTGCGCCATGGCCTACCCCCCAAGAAAGCGCCCGAAACCACCTACCTGCTGCGTGTCCTGGGTTTGCTAAACGCTGCAGTCAAAGGATGCATCCATCAAGTGGTGGAAAGCCACAGCTACACGTACTGCAAGCGTGAACGCTTCTGAAATGTGTCATGTGGCATGTGCAGCAATCAGGCATGCGATGCATGTTACATGAATAACAGGATGATCAATTCAGGGAGAACCTCCTAGTCTAGGAAGGTCATTGACGTTACAGGGATGCTACAAATTGTAATCGCCGCAGCAGCTATGATGAACTATCAGTTTACACGTCAGGACAACTGGCTCTGTGGCAATAAACTAATACTAAAAAGAATTGTGATCACTGTTCAGGACTTTGAAGGACTACCAGCTCAAGTCCATGTTCAGGATCATACAAGATTGGCGGTCATTAGCTGGCAGTGACTTCCAGCAAGTTCTTCGGCAAACCCGATTCTGTTGGAACTGACGGCGCAGAAGCAAGAAACGATTATCCATACTGCGCCGGCAAAATACCATGCATCCTTGCAACAACACTACACGGGCAATCGCCAGGAAGTTGCTAGGCACATCAAGATCATTATCAGGAGCCTGGTAAAAATTTTCGGATTTTGGACATCCTGCATAGCCTCTTTGCCTCTAGAAAAGGCGTAGCATGACAGCCCAACAGCCAATTTGTTCAAGGCTCGGTCAGGCACACACCTACAGAGCCCACTTCGGCATTGGGGAACGGAAGCCTTTTTTTTACGACGAGAGATGGCATGCTCTCCATCCCTTCGTTTCCCTTCATTCACTCTTGATTCTCCGCGTCAACCTTCCCATGGTACTTGTACCAAGTTGACGTGCCTTGCTGCCCGAGAGGAAATCGCAGCGCACCAGCAAACCTCTGAACAACATTCATTGCCACCAGGAGGGCAGCCACACTGAGATCGAAAGTGTTTACGCTACTGCTCTCATGGCTGTTCCAGTCATGACGCCCACCATACTGCATGATACTACCCAAGTGTCATGAATTTCGTTGTTCACATCGTTGCTTGCATCTATCTATGCTGGTACTGTTGTTATAGCAACTGTTCCCAACGTTTCTGCTGTTGACATGTTCCTACAGATCCAAACCCAGGTACCCCTTATTCCTGGTGATCAGGAGCCCGTCATCTTGCGGGGAAGAAAAATACAGCCCTTCCAAGCATGCGGTTGACCAGAGTTCGGATCGCATTCCTTGTGGCTGAATCCCTAGCTGATGATGCAAGATGCCGTAAACCCACAGGACTGTCACCAGATATATCCAAAGGTGATCCTTTTTTTGTCACTGGACCCTGACGTGCAGCTCAGGAGAACCGGCAATGTGCTCTAAGACGACTGCATAAGGAGACCTACAGCATTTGGCCAGGGCCTTTGTGCTGAATCGCAGCCCGCAAAGCTTGCAGTGTGTCATCAGGGTGAACCTGCCAGGACCCCAACTGCCAAACAACTCTGGCCCAGTCTGGATGCTCCATGTTTGCGTCAGCACCCCATGATGCCAATGTATCTGTGGACAAGTAGAAGGGTCCATTCAGCGGCTTGATCTCAAAGCGACTTCACCACCCCGAAAAACTCAAACAAACAGAAGGCGGTACAATCGCAGGCTTCCCCGTGGGAGTTACAAATCGCGTGGAGGCATTTGGTGTGGGAAGCCAACCACACCTCCATAATCTGGAATTTCGGCCCTTGCTCCCGAATAGATGAGATGCGATCACCCCCATGTTGTTTCTCATTATTATATTCCTTCCACAGGCCTGTAGCATCCCTGTAAGACCTTGAAGCTGTATTCAATTCCTCCTGACATCTGCACCCACCCCAAACTAAGACCTCAAACCTCAACCTTGGACTCTAAACCTTCAACCTTCGACTCCAAACTCATGGAACTAGGAGGCTGCCTCAACGTCGCCCAAATTCTCGCCAGAAAGTGCTGCCCGCAGAGTTATCGGAAAAGTGGCCATGGCGCTTCCAAGGGGTCAAGGGCGTATGAGGGGATCATTTTTAGAGGGCCTTTGTGACAAAAAAGGGCTTCGATCTCAAAAGAAGCGGGTCGCAGAGATCTGAATACAAGGTGCACCTTCGCAGCATGCAGTGCACTGGGAACACTGAGAACAAAATAAATGCGTAATTGAACTCGTTACCTGCAAGAGCGATCAGCTGATCTAGGCAAACCTTCTAGCAGGATTCTGCTTGAGTCTCCGTTCGGTGCACCACTTGATACTCATCTCCAGTGCCTACAGCACAGGTTTGAGCAGACACCAGGATGCGGTACCTTCCCTCAACGCAAGGCCCCAGATGGGTGCATCTGAAACGTGTGGCCTCCTTACATGGAAGCCTCATATGCTGTCCAGATTCTGGAGTGGGAGCATTGAATAAGGCTTAAATATGAATTGAAAAGATTGGCCTGAACAAGCCGAATCTGTCGGTCCATCTCTCGTACTTCGGGTCGGAGTGCTCTGTGAGCTCCACTTCGAAGTACCTGATAAAAGGAGGGTGTGAAGGCAACAATTTCAGAGCTGCTACTCCTTTGGTATCTTTCACAAAAGGACTCCTGCATTGGGGCCTCTGTATCTGGAATGCTAGAACCACACCATGCGCAAGGGGCCGCTTCCCTGAGCGCGAGCTGTCAGGAAGCCGTGGATGGCGCACGCGTAGGCTGTGATGGCCAGGAAGCCATTGACGAAGAAGCAAAAGAGTATCTGAGCAGGTTCTTGAAGAGCTAAAGGCTGAGTGAGTCAAGAGATCGTCACATTGGGAGCAGACAAATCGCATCTCGTCCAATTTTGCGATTGCCCCCTCCATTTAAGTGAAAGTTTGCCTAAACATGCACTTTGAAAAAATATACATGTAGATATTCCTCAGTCTTTCGTAGATGCAGCCAGGGCCACAAGAGTCCCATCAGAATCCGTGATATCCGTGCCTCAGCGCCTACTGTATAGAAACCACAAACTCTAAACACTGATCCGACAAGTCTTTAGGTCCCAAAATGGAGGCCCTTACAGGGACCCCGGGATACGGAAAGGGGCGTATCAAGAGTCGAGCTTACTAGGACTCCCCCTGAACATGGACCCGAAGGGTGGAAGGGTGAACGTTTGGACTGCCACGCCGGCAGCTGACCGGATGCCTCCAACTCCCCAAACTCGGCGTTTGGGTGACTTACTTCAGGAAGAGCTTCCACGTTCAAGGATAGCTCTGATATGTAGACTTGGCTATCACTTTTAGGATACAATTGCAAGAAATCTGAAGCTATAATGTATAGCATACTCACCTGGATTAGCAAAGCAAGGCAAAGCCTGTGATACTGCCACAACAGAAACAAGGCATCCGCCAAATAATTGGGCCTCTGTCTAGTGTGGGCTTCACGGTTTTCCGCGGGGCTTTTGCCTTGGGGTCTCATCCTTAAAAACAGCGAGGGCAGGGCATCAATACCCGGAAAACAGCAAAGAAATCGGCAGGTCCAGGAGTACCCTAGAGGGCGGGCGCAAGCCTCGGCATCCCCTAGAAGATGCCAGCACTTTCACGCAGAGCACACGGAGGCTACTTGAGGGTAGTAGTATTCCAAATAATTGAGAATTAAATGGCAAATGGAAAACCAGATGCAAACTGGATTGATATAGGGTTTTACAAGTTGGCTTTTCTAAGTTGAGGGACTTACAACTAACTTTCTGCACTTAACTTAGAGTTAAAATATACTTAGCTTGAAGTGTTTTCGGCTACTTATAAGTCTACTTATAAGTATTCCCTAACTATAAGCTAACTATAAGCTAACTATAAGCTACCTGAACCCGCTGAAACCTTCCTTTTTTAGGACGCCCCGCTTTTGGAGACCAAAACAAGGTCATAGCTAAAAAAAGGGGTCACAAGAATTCGGGGCTTGCTGAAGGCAGACAACCATCATATATGCCATTCCAATTAACAGCTGTCCTGTTCTGACCCGCCACAAAACCAACAATAACATAATGCCTCCATTCTTAGTAACCTTAGTACGCCATATTCTTACCTGGAACACGATTGATAAACGATAATACTACATCAGAAAGACGATCAAGGGGCCCACCTGTACAGTCAGAATTCTACAGCACTCCCAACTCCGAATCCCTGACCTGACAAAATCCCTTAACCCTGCCCCACAAGAACTACCTTCACTCTTTCATGCCTGGATCCTGTTCATTGGTGCCACGACCGAGCGGAGGGGTGCCGGGCTCATTTTCTGAAATCTGTAGAAGTCGATTATGATTCTGCGTATAAGATTCCGGGAGGGTCTCAGCATGCCAGCACCCCACCTTATGCCCACAGAATTTGATAGGAGGCCAACAGTGACCTGTCCATCACACGGGTGTGCAAACGACGGGCATGAACCCTGCGGCTGAGCCGGCAGGGTCTGCCTATATAATCTTCTGATTGCTGATTGCTGGTAGCTAGAGGGTTCGGGACCCACTGGCATCGGGTGCCATCATCAATAAGTCCTTCAGCAGTGTGGGAGATCATATGGGCCTTCGGAACAAGGATGAACCTGTTTAGCCTTCTTTGCAAGCACTCGTAGGCGCATTCCTGGTATGTAAGCAAGAAGCTTCGCATCATGAGTCCCAATTTTTTGGCAGTACAGCCACAGATCCAATAACCTTCAGCATACAAGACCGAGAGGACGATATTCATGAGCTGGGTGCCTTTCGCCTCAGACATTTTCCAATTCCACATGAAAATTAAATGAAAAGAGACGTGGTAGCTTC